AACCAACAAGCTCACAAACTCAGAAAGAGCAAGTGAATAACATGTGTTTTCTGTTCTCCTTTGATACAGTTTAGTCACACTTAAATTGAAATGCTAAGTCTTGACCAGCAACGCTGCTACGGTACCACATCCCATAATTTGCTTAAAGGAAAAGAAAAAGGGGTGGAACTTTCTAGGTACCAATCCACAACACCAAACTGTAGTAAAAAAAGTTTGCATTTTTTATTAACAAAGTTTAAAAAGGAAATATTGTCATACATGGACCCATATACAACTCTATACATCAATGATTACCTGCATTGGTTGAGTTTCATCTTCATTCACTCCTGATGAAGACTCTTTGGAGCTTAAATGCATTGAAGTTTCTAGCCTCCATCTGAAGATTCTTTCCAGATAGAACTCAACCAATGCAGTTAATCATTGATGTATAGACTTGTATATTGGTACATGTATGACAATATTTTCTTTTTAAACTTTGTTAATACAAATACAAAGCATTTTTACTACAATTTGGTGTTGTGGATTGGTACCAAGAAAGTCCCACCCCTTTTGTCTTTTCCTTTACTCACACTTAGTTTATGCCATCTGTGTTCAGCTTTGTGTGTGTTCTGATATTCACTTTCTCTGTTTAGTAGCCTATATTTATTTATTTCAGGTACCTATATAGCGCCGTCAATTACGCAGCGTTTTACATATATATTGTACATTCACATCAGTCCCTAACCCTCAAGGGGCTTACAATCTAAGGTCCCTAACTTACATTCATACATACATGTACTAGGGCAAATTTAGACAGGAACCAATTCACCTACCAGCATGTCTTTGGAGTGTGGGAGGAAACCGGAGTACCCGGAGGAAACCCACGCAGACACAGGGAGAACATGCAAACTCCAGGCAGGTGGTGCCATGGTTGGGATTCGAACCAGTGACCCTAGTACTGCCAGGCGGAAGTGCTAACCATTTAGCCACTGTGCTGCCCAGTATATATATATATGTTAGCTATGGTAATTCTCTAACACAAATTGATGCGCTTTTCCATGTGGCCAGCACTGCCACTATAAATAAAGTAATTATCTATATAATGTGATCCATTTCTGTTTGACAAATTACACTCTGAAGGAGCAAGTGAGCAACATGTGTTTTTTTCTGTTCTCCCTCTTAATACAGTTTAGTCACACTTAAATTAAAATGCTAAGTCTTGACCAGCAACATTGCTATGGTACCACATCCCATAATTACTGCATACTGCATCTTTGTCATACCTCATACTCAGATCACCAATATTCCTGTAACATAAGCTTTAACATGAAAATAGGGTGTGCAGCGCTATACAAATAAAACACACTATCTAAAGTATGGCAAAAAATATGACAGAAATGGAAAAGTCCTATAAACTGAATGTTAAACAGTCCAAGGTGGTAAAATATCAGTCCAAAAGGTATACTCCAGTGATGGGAGTATAAATAACTTCAATCCAAATGGGTATATTCCAGCATCCTAACATGAAGGTGTAGAAAAATTGCCCACTCACCGGAAGTGCAATTTAATGTGCACATAGAAATTCCATGAAGCCGGAGGTCCCATGAAGGAATAGCTTGATGATAAAGGTGCCCTCTGGTGGTAGATGGGGTGACGGCTGCCAGAGAAGTTGATCTGGACCAATATCCCAAATTGTCCTGCCTGGGTGGACTCCTAGAATGCTGGGCTGAGATGTGGAGGCTCAGTGCCAGGTGATAGAGATGAAAATGCTCATGGTGTAGTATTATAAAAAGTATTTAATGAGTATATATCATTATGATAAAACAGTAAAACGTACAGGGTTAGAGTACCAGTATAGGTATAGTGTAAACGAGCTCTATAAATGCACTGACCAGTGAATACAAATGATGGCCACCGGACCTCCTGATCCGGTGGCGTAACGTCAAGGCGTGCAGAGGCTCCTCCTAGACGCGCTTCGTGTAATAACACGTCTCTGTAGGGGCATCACTTTAGATAGTGTGTTTTATTTGTATAGCGCTGCACACCCTATTTTCATGTCATTTTCCTAGAAAGGCTTTGTGGTTCCTTTTTGTGCATCAGCAGCTTCTTATTGGTGCGCTCGCTATCTCACACATTTATACTCTATAAGCTTTAACATGTTAATCTCTTGTCTCCAACATAATGCAAATGTGCTGCAGCAAAGACTGTGGGCTCTATTGCTCACATGCCACACATACTATGTGTCCATGGGCAGCAGAGATTCTGTGCTGAGACTGTGCTCACTGTGCACTCCAGGCACAATGACCGAACTGTCGACAGCTCTAAGCCTCTACTAATGATCAGGAACTGGTGGGAATGGCTCTTGAACATATAACCACTTGTGACAGTCAATCACAATGATCATGTGAATGGTTGTCCCTTCCCACCCGGCAGGGCATTAAGACCCTGTTAAAGGGATTTTGGGGATAGACAGGAAGGGGTTAATGTAATTTTAAAAGCCACTCCCAATATTTTAAATCTGCAGGGTTCAGTAAACAATAATCCTGCCATGAAGGTCCATGGAATTTCCTGTTATAGTGTGCAAAGCCCTGTCCCTAACTACTAAAAGTGCCCCTGTGTATATCACTCTATCAATTGTGCGTCTGATGGAGAATACAAGTGGCTGTTTATGGAGGCATAGTCTATTGTTGTCCCCATCCAGAAGCTGACCCCAAGAAATGCTATGCAGTCATTGCTGGAGTGTGTGTCTAGACAGAAAATGGCTGCAGGATACAACCATTGCTAAGAAGCAAAAAATAACAAAATATGATCACAGTATGTGTTTAAAAAAATAATTATTTATGATGCATGGTGCTTGGCAAAATACATTTTTACATTTTATTTTTTAGTGTCTAATAAAGCAAATTTATACAAAAATACTATACATATCCTTCAATTTTGTTTTATGTTTTTGATCTCTATGTATTAATAAGGAAAAGTTCCCCTCTTCCACCATTTTAAGGTCTCAATGTTATTCAGTCTGCCAAGCATTAAACAACAGTGTGACAAAGTATGAGCCTCATTTAGTTAGCGGGTCTCTGCTTTTTGGATATTCCCTTTAAATTGAAAAAAATGGCTGGACAAATCAGCCTACAACTGCCTGACATGCAGTCTATGTAAGCAGCTGGTTTTTATACACATATTATTTAGCTACAGTGACAGAAGCAATGATTGCTTCATCAGTGTAGCAGTTTGGAATTTGCTTATATCTAAAAGTGTTAGTGATCCATGAAGAGAGTGGGGCTATGAATGCACAGGCAATAACAACTTAAAATTGCCTATCGTAGAATAATGTGCACTGACCTTCCCGCAAGCCTGCGTTTGCCTGTTTGCAGACTGACAAGTACATTATCTACTTGTCATTTCTGGGACTGCTGCTTCGATGTGCAGACGTGATTCACAAAAAGAAATGTATTTTTAATCATTTCTTTTGTATTTCACTATCTGTTTCTGCATTATCGTATCCAAACACATTAATACTTTCTTAAATTAACTGATTGATTTGAATTTTTCTTGTAAATATTAATCAATATGTGATTAAAAAAAATTTATGGTGACTTATTATTTACATTCTTGCCTTGCTGCTGTTGGAGCTCTGATTTAAACGCAAAATGAGCGAGTAGCATGTACAGGAACCATTTTAAAAAAACAGCTTTAAAGTGTTACTAAAGTCAAACTTTTTTTAAAATTATAAAAACAAATGGTATACTCACCTGCCCTGTCCACTGGTATTGTTGAGATCAGCCTCAGTGCTCCTCTTCTCAGGTCCCCCGGTGGCAATCCTGACTCTTCCTCCTCTTTGTATGTCCCCAAAGCAAGCCCCTTGTTATGGAGGCACACAGTGTCTTTGCGCTCCCAAGCTGTGTATCTATGGAGCCGCGCTTCATAGATTTACACATCTGGACTTAGCCCCGCCGTCACTTCCTCCTCACTGCATTTGATTGACAGCAGCAGGAGCCAATGGGTCCTGCAGCTGCTCGAGCGCTGTGTGAAGAGGAAGAGAGCACACTGCTGGATCTATTCTTCCCTCTCTTCCCCTTTACACAGCGAAGGGGGAGAACAGACAAATAGAAAATTTTTAACATTTTTAGCTTTAGTATCACTTTAACAAAGCCCTTAAGGCTATTTTTAATTAACATTTGTCCTCTGAAGTGCGAGCTGCAGTGTCACATCCTCACCAGCTGTTTTTGCCCCTAAAAGTGTACACAACCTGTCAGGGCTCCCAGGTGTGACCAGAGGTGTGTGGCTGACGCAGGGAAACGCAGACCTCAGATATGTTATAAACAATATAATTTATTAACACTAACAATACAAACATAAACGCAGTGCAATACTAAAACATAATACAGTGCAAACAAACCAACCACCCACAGATAACAGTACATACAAGCAAGCGTCGTCAGGCAGGCCGGGTCAATATCAATAGGGCAGGTAGGTACAGGGGGAGCAAGCGGAGATTGGTCGGGGTCACAGGCCAGGTTCAGCAGGTAGCAAGCAGCGTAGTACAGGGGGTCAGGCAGAGGGATGGTCAGGGTCACAAGCCAGGGATCAGAACAGGTAGCAAGCAGCGTGGTACAGAGGGTCAGGCAGAGGGGATGGTCAGGAGCGAGCCGGGATCAGAGCAGGAGAAGTCAGCAGCGGTTCAGAAACAGGATGCAGGTCAGAAACAGGATACAGGGCCCAGGACAAACACAACACCAAGGCAGAGTCTGTGGGTCTGGCCATCCCTTAAATACCCCAGCATAATCAGTTCCAGGTGTTAGCTGGCTGCAAAGTTGAGTCTCTGATTGCTGGGAGCATCCGCTGGCCAGCCCTGGTACTGCAGATCAAAAGACAGGTGAGTCCCACCATTGCTGGCCAGTCCATTCCTGACAGTACCCCCCCCCTCAAGGAGCGGCCTCAGGACGCTCCAAACAGTCCTAGCTGGGAAAAATGTTCCACCGCCCGGGTCTGGTAACTGGCGGGATATCAAAGACTGGCACACCGGGCAGGACTCCGGGCAGCGGGTACACCGGGCAGAGGCACATCGGGCTGGACTCCGGGCAGAGGCACATCGGGCTGGACTCCGGGCAGAGGCACACCGGGCTGGACTCCGGGCAGAGGCACACCGGGCTGGACTCGGGCAGAGGCACACCGGGCTGGACTCGGGCAGAGGCACACCGGGCTGGACTCCGGGCAGAGGCACACCGGGCTGGACTCCGGGCAGAGGCACACCGGGGCAGAGGCACATCGGGCGACAGGCACCGGGCCCCGGGCGGGGCGACAGGCACCGGGACCCCCCGGGCGGGGCGACAGGCACCGGGCCCCCGGGGCGGGGCGACAGGCACCGGGCCCCCCTGGCCGGGGCGACAGGCCTCGGGCCCCCTGGCGGGGCGACGGGCCTCGGGCCCCTGGCGGGGCGACGGGCCTCGGGCCCCCAGCGGGGCGGCGGCGGGCGCCCGGACCCCCAGGGGGAACTACATGTCTCGGGCCCTCAGGCGGAGCGGCGGGCGCCGAACCCCCAGATGGAGTGACAGGTCTCGGGCCCTCAGGCGGAGCGGCGGGCGCCGGACCCCCAGATGGAGCGACAGGTCTCCGGGCCCTCAGCGCGGAGCGGCGGGCGCCGGACCCCCAGGTGGGGCGACAGGCATCGGGCCCCCAGATGGAGTGACAGGTCTCGGGCCCTCAGGCGGAGCGGCGGGCGCCGGACCCCCAGATGGAGCGACAGGTCTCGGGCCCTCAGGCGGAGCGGCGGGCGCCGGACCCCCAGGCGGGGCGACAGGCATCGGGCCCCCAGGCGGGGCGACAGGCCTCGGGCCCCCAGGCGGGGCGACAGGCCTCGGGCCCCCAGGCGGGGCGACAGGCCTCGGGCCCCCAGGCGGAGCGGCGGGCGCCGGACCCCCAGGCGGGGCTACAGGTCTCGGGCCCTCAGGCGGAGCGGCGGGCGCCGGACCCCCAGATGGAGCGACAGGTCTCGGGCCCTCAGGCGGAGCGGCGGGCGCCGGACCCCCAGATGGAGCGACAGGTCTCGGGCCCTCAGGCGGGCAGCAACAGGTCTCGGGCCCCCAGGCGAAGCGGCGGGCACCGAGTCACCAGGCACGACAGTGGGCACCGAGTCGTCTGGCAAGACTGCGGGCACCGAGTCAACTGGCGGAACAGCGGGCATCGAGTCAACTGGCGGAACTGCGGGCACCGAGTCGTCTGGCAAGACTGCGGGCATCGAGTCAACTGGCGGAACAGCGGGCACCGAGTCGTCTGGCAAGACTGCGGGCACCGAGTCGTCTGGCAAGACTGCGGGCACCGAGTCGTCTGGCAAGACTGCGGGCACCGAGTCGTCTGGCAAGACTGCGGGCACCGAGTCGTCTGGCGGAACAGCGGGCATCGAGTCGTCTGGCAAGACTGCGGGCACCGAGTCGTCTGGCAAGACTGCGGGCACCGAGTCGTCTGGCAAGACTGCGGGCACCGAGTCGTCTGGCAAGACTGCGGGCACCGAGTCGTCTGGCAAAACTGCGGGCACCGAGTCGTCTGGCGGAACAGCGGGCACCGAGTCATCTGGCAAGACTGCGGGCACCGAGTCCTCTGGCAAGACTGCGGGCACCGAGTCCTTTGGCAAGACTGCGGGCACCGAGTCCTCTGGCAAGACTGCGGGCACCGAGTCGTCTCTGGCAAGACTGCGGGCACCGAGTCGTCTGGCAAGATTGCGGGCACCGAGTCGTCTGGCAAGGACTGCGGGCACCGAGTCGTCTGGCGGAAACAGCGGGCATCGTGTCAACTGCGGGACTGCGGGCACCGAGTCGTCTGGCAAGACTGCGGGCACCGAGTCGTCTGGCAAGACTGCGGGCACCGAGTCGTCTGGCAAGACTGCGGGCACCGAGTCGACCTGGCAAGACTGCGGGCACCGAGTCGACTGGCGGAACAGCGGGCACCGAGTCGTCTGGCAAGACAGTGGGCTCCGAGTCAAACAGGCACGACAGTGGGCACCGGGTCATCAGGTATCGGATTGTCTGGCTCGACAGCGGGGCATCGGGTCACCAGGTATGACAGCGGGCACTGGGTCACCAGACATCAGGTCATTTGGCTTGCCAGCGGGCACCGCGTCATCTGGCAAGGCAGTGGGCACCAGGTATGACAGCGGGCTCTGAGTCAATTGGCACACAGCGGGCACTGGGTCAGGTACCGGATCATCTGGATCAACAGCGGGCATCAAGTCAACTGGCCTAATAGGATCGTCGGGCTGGATCAGTTCATCATGCTGAGTAGCTGGCATCAGCCTGAATGCAGGCATCAGGCTGAGTAGAGGCTTCAGGCTGAGTAGAGGCTTCAGCTGAGTAGAGGCTTCAGGCTGAAGAGAGGCATCAGGCTGAGTAGAGGCTTCAGGCTGAGTAGAGGCTTCAGGCTGAGTAGAGGCTTCAGGCTGAGTAGAGGCTTCAGGCTGAAGAGAGACATCAGGCTGAGTAGAGGCTTCAGGCTGAGTAGAGGCTTCAGGCTGAGTAGAGGCTTCAGGCTGAGTAGAGGCTTCAGGCTTGAAGAGAGGCATCAGGCTGAGTAGAGGCTTCAGGCTGAGTAGAGGCTTCAGGCTGAGTAGAGGCTTCAGGCTGAGTAGAGGCTTCAGGCTGAGTCACGGAAGGCAGGTTCATCGGTTTGGATACTGGCAGGATGGTATTGGTTGGAAAGGAATTTTCGCTTTTTTCTGGTTTTAACTACTGGAGCACTGCAAGTAAACGCAGGTCTGCAAACGAATGAGCAGCTGGGTTGGAGACAGAGAAAAAACTGGAGGATGGAACAGGAGAGGGAGCAGTTGCTACAGAGGGCCTTTTTTACAGGGTTAAAGGCAGGATAGGTGCAGCGAGTGGGAACAGAAGGTACTGACATGCGGTAGATAGCCATATTTACTGGGCTGTAACTGGAGGAGCTGGTGGGAATACAGGAGTAGAGTTAGAAGCAGGACTGGGTTTTTGTAAGCTGACTGAGGCTGGGTGCAACAAGTCTGTCCATGTCTGCAGTAGGGTTGAACAAAGCTGAGCTTACACAAAGCCTGTCTGGTCAATGACTGCACTGCGTTTATACTATCTCTTAGTGTCTGTGGTGAACATGTGGAATAACGCTCCAGAAAGTAACCCACATCATCCTCTAATAACCACACCAGGGACTCTACCTGGTCTGCACTAAATGGTGGCAAAAATTCATCCCTGCATTCGGGGGAACAGATGAAAAACCAACTCAGCACAAACCTCAATCAAAGGCTGCACCTCAGAGAACTCTGTGCCCTGATCTACTAGAACATGAGCGAGCCGTATACATTCTAGTAGTTGATGCCCTGGGATACTCCTTCAGAGTTTGATAAGCATACTCCCTGTCATCAAAACACTAGCAGATATAATACACAACCTCATCCAGATCCATCCTTCCCAGCAACAAGCAATGATGGCTTCCCTGTGCAGCACTTCTGGTCAGGATTGGCCTGGTGTATGTCAGGGCTCCCAGGTGTGACCAGAGGTGTGTGGCTGACGCAGGGAAACGCAGACCTCAGATATGTTATAAACAATATAATTTATTAAACACTAACAATACAAACATAAACGCAGTGCAATACTAAAACATAATACAGTGCAAACAAACCATACCAACCACCCACAGATAACAGTACATACAAGCAAGCGTCGTCAGGCAGGCCGGGTCAATATCAATAGGGCAGGTAGGTACAGGGGGAGCAAGCGGAGATTGGTCGGGGTCACAGGCCAGGTTCAGCAGGTAGCAAAAAAAGCAGCGTAGTACAGAGGGTCAGGCAGAGGGGATGGTCAGGGTCACAAGCCAGGGATCAGAACAGGTAGCAAAGCAGCGTGGTACAGAGGGTCAGGCAGAGGGGATGGTCAGGAGCGAGCCGGGATCAGAGCAGGAGAAGTCAGCAGTGGTTCAGAAACAGGATGCAGGTCAGAAACAGGATACAGGGCCCAGGACAAACACAACACCAAGGCAGAGTCTGTGGGTCTGGCCATCCCTTAAATACCACAGCATAATCAGTTCCAGTGTTAGCTGGCTGCAAAGTTGAGTCTCTGATTGCTGGGAGCATCCGCTGGCCAGCCCTGGTACTGCAGATCAAAAGGCAGGTGAGTCCCACATTGCTGGCCAGTCCATTCCTGACACAACCGCACCACAACCACATGCACTGTACGCAGTTGTGCGATGGGTTGCGACGCAGCCCCATTCACTTGAATAGGTTCATGTTGGGCAGGCATTATTGAGGTTTTTATTCTTGTCTTGATCACAAAGGAAAGCATTGCTGAGGCAGCATGGGTACAACCCACCTTTCACTGCCTTTGCAGTTTAAAGGGGAGTGGTTAAGGGCAGTAAAAAACACTGCAGGTGTGTGCAGCAGAATCCCTTACAGGGAACCTGTGGCTATGGCTCTTGATGTCCAAGTATATATATATTTAATAAATATTTATTTATATATTTAAAACAGGCAGTAAATGAACTTTATAGGCAAAACTCCATTGGTTAAAAATCATAAAATTGCTTAATCCAGGGCCCATGATATGGTCTTCCTTCCTACCTGTTCCAGTTTTGACAGTTCAAACCCACAAAGCTGCCCTTTCATATCTTCACACCTAACACCAATATCATCATGTATAATCCAGAAACATTGCTGGACTTGCACTGTGTTGATGTGGTAGGTAGTGCCCACCAACATTCCCCCAGGACTGAATAGAAGAAGGACCAGAGCAGTAGATGCTGTGGGACAATGCAGTAGATCATTCCCCTCGAAAAATAAAATCATTGTATTTATCTAGTTGCACAGGTATTTTTATAGAGCCGTCAATTTACACAGTACTTTAGATATGTTGTACATTCACAATCAGTCCCTAGAAACTTCACGAGTGTACAATCTACAATCTAAGATCCCTAACTCACATTCATACATACACATACATGAGCCAATTTTAGACAGGAACCAATTAACCTACTAGCATATCTTTGGAGTGTGGGAGGAAACCAGAGTATCTGGTGGAAACCTTACACAGCAACATGCACGCTCCATGCAGTAGTTGCCATGGTTGCACTCGAGCCCCACTATCCTAGTGCTGCTAGGTGGAAGTGCTAACCACCTTAGCCCCTGTACGCTACCCATTTTTAGGGGGGGGACAGAAGGTGGGACCTAGTTCCCCTCAACAAATGGGAAAAGGTGCCTTGCAAGGTGGGGGAGGTTGTGCCCCTCTTGCAAAGTATTCCCCCTCAAATGTTGAAAAGACATTTGGCCAGGTATGATACAGGAAAGGAACTTGCATGCTCAATGCCCTCCCTTTCCAAGGATGCATAAAGGTCTGTTTAGAATAGTAGGGGAACCTGAATTCATTATTTTCCTGTTTTTATGTCATTTTTTAAAGAATTACATCATACTGCCCCCCCAGGGGCTGGGACTGACCATTTGGAAACTTCGGGCACTGTCCGAGTCGGGCACGGGGTCAGTTAGGGGACCCCATGAGATTGCCCCTGTATACCTTTTTCATAGGCTTTTTTAAGTTTTGGCAAGGATACAAGGGGCCCCATGATCCCCTATTGCTCAGGGCCCCATTAATTGTCAGTCTGCCCCTGACCACCCCATAACAATACATGCAGCTTCAAGCTATCCAAAACTTGCTTTGTTAAAGATTTATGTATTTCCAAGTTACCCCTTCAGCAGCATAAAAATGGTAACTGTTGCTTTAGGGTATTTTTACAGATTTTTTCAAAATACAATGTGTATGTGTTACTTTTAATTTGTAAACACTATCTGAATCTGGAATTATACTTTTTGTTTATTACTTTTACAAGATATCCATACATTACTAAAGGGGTACAGGTAGTAGTTACTGTAACGGAGAAGTACAGCCAAA